CAGATGTGATGACGTTGAAGAAAAAAAAAAAAAGGATTATATTTTTGCCTGAATCTACAAGATTATATAACAATTATTTAAAGATTAAATAAGATACATAAAAAAGCTTAATATTTTTATTTAAGTATAATATTGTTATTGTTATTATTTTAAATAGGTTTAAATTAGTTTAATTGTTATTAAATTGAATTTTTAAAATTAATTGATTATTATACTTTTGTTTATTATTTAAAAAAGATAAAGTTAATTATTATTTTTATAGTAATAAAATTTTTGTAAATTTTATTTTAATAGAAGAATAATTAACGTAACATATATTTTTAATAATAATTTATATTAATTTATTGATAATTAATTAATATAATTTGAATCAATACAAGCAATATAAAATATTTCATAAATTATATTTAAAAATCATATATTATTGATAAATAAGTAATATTGAATTAATTTATATATGAAATTTTTTTTTAAAAATTATAGCTTAAATAACATATATAACATTGATTTATCATTAATAATAATAATGATAATAATAAATATTTAAAATTTGTAAAAAAATTATATTTAATAAATAAATCAATGATTCTTTATATATCAGACTTCACTTAATTCATATTATATTCATATTATATTCATATTATATTAGTCAATATATTATTATTATAATTATAAATTCGATATATCATTAAAATATTTTTATTATACTGTATATATAACAAAGTAAATGGGTAATCATTTTCGAAGGCGGACAGGGATTTTCCGGGCACTATAAATGTGATCCTAAAATTTACATTGTTTAAAAATAGGAACCGAAAAAAAATCATTTTTCACCTTCAAAAATAATTACTCAAATATATAAATGAACAAATAAACGGTACTTGTATTGATAATGAGAATGATGGGTTTTAGAATATGATTATGCATGCGATATCAATTAATGCAAATACGTATTCTGAGATGAATTCATATAAGATTTAATCAAGGATTAATTATTTAAAATCCTATAAATTAATTGCATGTACTATTATATAATACAGTAAATATTTTGTTTTATCATCAACTGCTTAATAAAAGAAATCAAATTTATACTTTAATTGGTTTAAGATCTTGTTGAACATGGCTATTGGTTAATGGGGGCTTTTTTTTTTTAATGAATCTTTTTTTAATTGCACTTTTCTAAATTTTGCTCAACTTTGGCATTCGCGAATATCACATTTAACGGGTAACACGGATTCCCAATTCGGAAACAAAAAAAATAAAGAACAATCACGAATCGATGTTTCATTATAAGTATTTAAAAAAAATGGAAATAGGCTATTGAAAAGTCCTAAATATATGATCTTGTGCTTGGTGACTAACTGGTAAAGCGATCGTTACCCTGAAAATCTATTTTAATCTGGTTTTTCTTTTTTGTCATATATAAAAGGAAGACAATAGTTGAAATCGACAATAGAAAGAATTAACCGTAAGAACTTAACGATAGGAAAGTCTAATTGGTTGTTTCCGGTTTTTTATTCCAATGATAAATTTTTCGTGCGCTTAACGTTTATTCATATCAACAACCATAATTGGCAATAATAAAATAGAAATTTTCCTAACTAATAGTGTTTGTCGTGCCTACCCTGTTTAGAATAAGTTGAATAGGGGATAAGAGAAAGATTCGTCAGAGTATTGAAGGAAAGTTCCATGATCATTCGCAACATGGTAAAATCAGATGTGATGACGTTGAAGAAAAAAAAAAAAAGGATTATATTTTTGCCTTTAAGCGCAAGGCAAATTGATCCAAACTTCCCCCCCAAAGCCGTCCTGATTATGAACTAGTTATAATTACTAAGCGCCTACTCTTTTTTTTTTTTTAATTTGTGACCAGAAAGGAAGCTAATGAACGGGTATAAATTTCATAAGCTATAGGCTTATTTTATGGGGCTGTAAATAAAATCATCCTATTGCGATTGGCGTTTTCGCATCTCACATGCTTGTTTTTAAAAATCATGAACCACAAAATCGATTATACATTGATGGCTTCACACAGGATTGAAGGGATATTACACTTTTTTGTGGCATGCATGTGCAGCATTCAAATTTTCAAGAAACTTAATTTGTGATGATATTTGAATGTATCTTTGACTAAGAAAAATGTAAGAGTTGCAAGGAAGCTCTTATGGGAGAGGGAAGTTGGAATGTAATTTTGTATTGATGCACGGCTACTGGTATCTTTGTCAAAGAACGAGAACGGTACCGGTGATGCACCCTCGAAATTTAGAAACAAAGTGCGAGATTTTTTTTTTTTTTAAAAAAAAAAAAAAAAAAAAAAAAAGGAATTACACAATGTTTACTTTTCAGGGATGACGGAAAAAGTATTGAATTGGATGAATGGTATGTAGCCGTGTTAATTTACCATATTTGTTTCTTTGTATATGCTAGCTACTCAACTAACGAGCATATAGTTTTTTTACTTTTAATATGAGAGTTGGATAATAAATGATTGAAATACTGATAAGATAACACGCATACATCCAAAAAATTAGTGTGGGTGTTGAAGAGACAGGAATATGCGATTGAATACAAGAATGATGAGAGGCAGTACGTAATAATGTGCAAGGGTTTGATGTGCGAGTAAATAACAATCAAGATCCGTCGAAAATGGTAATTCTTGAATGAAATGTGATAGATTCAGTATAAACATTAACTTAAATGTACCTTATTCATTCTTTTTATCACACTTATCCACATACAACCATGTATTTTATGTTATTTCACGGAGCAAAACTCCGATAGAAAATGTGTGCGTGCGTAATCGATGGAAAAACTATTTGCTAATCTTTATTGTGATATTCGTTCAACAGAAATGTGTACCTCAACATTCCGCCGCCACAGAATGTCCAACGCAACTGCCTATTCTACATCTCGTTAGGTCATGTTTTCCACAAATAGGAGTTTCCAAAGGAATTAACTCCATTCGCCACACAAATTGCTGTCACTTTAAGAAAATTCGACTTTTTGTCATGTCATTCTTTTGTGTTCTTTTCATTCCAGAAACGTTAAGTATCATTTTGGTATGAGGTATGACTCATCCGAGTTACTAAGTAATCAACAAGACCATCGGCCTCCTCGGTCTCAGTCTCAGATTCTCTTCTTTTCTTTTATCAACTTTTTAATGTATTGATGATATATTGCTCGTATACAGTACATTTAAAATTTTTATAGTGAAGTGATAATGTACTTGCCCAATAGAAGGCACCTGGACAAATTTGGTCAATAATTGATTATTTTAAATAAAAAAGATTAATAATAAATTTGGTCATTAATGTGCACCGTCAATTGACCATTTTGACATCGTCTATTGGTGCGAGTCTAATTCGTTCCAACGATGCTTCGAAAATTCTTTCATTCTCATTGAGCTGCTCGTGGGTGCGTCTTTGTTTTTCTTATCATCGATATCTAATTTTGGGAATGTCATTGACTCTCCCTAATTTTTTTTCTTATCAACTGTGCAATACACCTGTTGACACACATGGGTGCGTCTTATTTTGGTTTCTTACCACGCCCGTCTTTGAGTCAACAAATTTGACAATCATATGTGATTACGCACCTGCAGCACGAGCTGATTCGAAAAAGCTCGTCAGAAGGTGAAAACATTCCATCATTGAGGTGTCAATGAACTGATGTGTGATAACACGATGTCCACCACATGCGTACATCGGATTACGCACGCACACACAGCCTTTGGTCGGTCTAGACAAATTAGGCTGGATAAGGGAAGTAATAATAAGTGATATAACTTGACGCTCTTCTAATTGGTTCACGTCGACCGTGTGCAGGTGGGAAAATTCGTTTGACCCCTAATTGTTTCAAACGGAATTTCAATCCCGTCATGTTGCACGGGGATAAAAAATTTTAGTAAGCACTATTGTAAAACCTTAAAATATTAATCTTACAAATTAGTACAAGCTACGCATTGTACCTCAACGATTTCCTCACAATTTATTATTGATTAATTTGTGATTAATTATTCAACCTTAATCCCGGCACGCTTGCCAAGAAAAGTTCGATTGTACACTTTTCGGATCTTGAATGAATGATATGGATCCAAGAAAAATTCAAGAAAAAATTCACCCAAGAAAAAAAAATCGGCAGGCACAAGAAAACTTGGTACCGCCGCGACGGATCAAAGGGGTGCGCGTGCGCGAGCGTGTGACCTTTTTTGATCAGCAGTTGGACCTCGGGACGTTTTTGTGCATCATATTCCTCTTGCCGTCTTGACAAATGAGACTCTTCCACGTCGAGGTTTCGTTTTTTTGAAGACTTCCTTCGTCGAATTGCAATCGTCCATTTGTCCGGTTCTCGTTGGTGCCACCTTTTCGTGTCGTCCGGGTCATTTTGGCATTTCCCATCTCACATCATTCGTCATTCCACCGAATTGATCGAGAACGGACCGCTCACAACGAAAGAGGGATGAATCGATCGATGAAAGAGAAAAAAAGATTCCATGTTCTTGGTGTGTTGGCACTGCGCAAAATCTTTAATTGCCCGTGTCATTGTTTACCTCAAGTCTGCTGCGGCTCTTTCGAATCATCACTCGTTTTGTGATCACCTGTATACGTGTAATGTAAAATTTCTTTTATTTTGTGTTCAAAATATAATTTTTCATATTTCAGATCGCCGCTTTATCTTCTACTATAACCTTATCACAAATAAAAAAAAAACGACCTGTTCATAGACTATGAACTATGAATGTGCTACACTGTTGTTATACATATAATTTATTAAATATGTATATGTATTCCATTTTAAAAAAAATTTCATGTAGGCAAGCATAAAAAAAAAGTATAAGTGACCGCAACCAGGTTTTTTTTAGATAAATAGAGACGTAGCAGGCAATCTCCTCCTTTTTCTTTACTCTCAACGGGTTCTCTTTCTCTTCGACCTCTTGGTCATCTAATTTTACTGTTTCTTGAATTTTCCCTTTTGACAAAAAGAGTCCATTACTTTAGTAAAAAAACTTTTTTTTTTTTTTTCCTTTCATTTTTTTATCCCAATCTCCATAAGGGATACTGAAAAAGAGCGTTCGATTCAATAATAAAAATAAAATCTTTTTCTCTAGATACTTTTCTCTCTCACCTTTTTTTTCCTTTGCCTTCTTCGTTTTTCGGAAACTTGGATCTCATCAACATAAAAACATCAGTTGTGGATTCCGTTCCGTTAAACAAAAGCTCAAAACTCACTTCTATTATTAATTTTATGTCGGCCGATTCTTTGATTTTTTTTTCGCCCGTCCAAGTAATGCAGTCAAACCCCTCATTCCCCCAATCGACTACTGTTGCTGAAAACACTGCTACCCTAAATAACTACTCCGAACCAATCGATTTTACTATTTATTCCCAAGACAATTCTTCTGAACTTGAAAATGATTCCTACCCTAGTATTCACCAGGTTCAGCACAATCCTAGTTATTTAGACGAGTCCGATTATTACGCAGCAACTAACCCCAGTAGTCACATCCATTCGAATCACTCTGCATCACTTTTGTGTTACACACCACACGACCAATCATCTTCCACATTTACTTCGCCACACGGAAACTCCTTAAACGACAATAATCCGCTGTCAGATTTTCATACAAATATCAATCAGATTTCCCCCCACTCAACTCCTCTCACCGCAAGTGAACATTTGTTGGTTGAGAACGTTCTGAATTCTCCTTATTCGCCATACATCGATTCTCCGTTTTTCTCTCCAGTGTGCAATAGTTTCCAGGACGTAATACCGTATTCGACAACTCCGGACTTTGGGACACCTTTCACCGCCTGCACACCGTTAACTCCCTACACACCACTCATTTCCTTCAATTCCGATCTCTCAACTCCTCGTTTTGTACCTAACACGCCCTCCACTCAGTTCATCGACGTTCCTCTATACGAGACCGACAGTAAACTGAGTAATCTTAATTTATTTGAGGTTGAGGAAACAAAACCTGACCTTTCGGACATCAGAATAAGCGTTCAACCATATTTATATCCTTTCCGCACCGTGAAAATGGAAGTCATCGCACCTCCCATTGAGACCACTGGTAATGACAAGAAACCAGAGAACGCTTTGGTTCCAGGAACCCCAAATAGCGATGGTTCGACTTCTGGCTCCGTCTCAGAAAAATCGGTTTCATCACTGTCTCCTGCCATCGACCCTTCCGAACAAACCAATTCGGGTTCTCAGGTTGGTGAGAACCCCGAAGTAAATACTGAGGGACCAAGATCACCATCGTTGCCAAGTTCTCCCTACACATCCACTTTTCCTGCAATCCGGCCTCGCCCGCAAGATGATGACGATGATAGTTCAGAGCCTGCAATCCGAAGGAGCAAACGTCAGAGGACCAGGAGTATTTCCGAGAATGAAGAAGAAAATGAGGACGATGAGAAAAAGTACATGTGTCCTGATTGCGGCCGCGGGTTCAATCGAAAGTTTAACATGCAAACGCATCGAGCCACACATGACCCGAATCGGGTGAAACCATTTGCCTGCGAACATCCAAATTGCGGTTCGAGGTTCACTCGAAAACACGATTTAAAGAGGCATGTCAATGGCATCCACAGGGGTGAACGGGTGCACTCCTGTACGGTTTGCAATAAACCATTCAGTCGCAAAGATGCTTGGAAGAGGCATGTCACAACGTGCGGCAAGATGTAGACTATCTAATGGAGATTGTGTTAACTAAAATATTATTTCCGAAAAATCTTCCGGACGCCTCATGGTTAGAAAATCCATCTCGAAAGCCGCATATTTTTATCGAGAATAAATTTATTTTTGATGGACTCTATCGATAATTACTCTTTAGCTTGTAGTTGAGTTGTTAAATTAAAAGCCACGGTGATTAAAAAAAAAAAAAAAAAAAAATTTTTTTTATCATTATTGCAATCTTCATGTGTTTATGTATGAACCACCGTGTAAAGAAAAAGAAGAGAGAAAAAAAAATCAAATCACTTTATGGCGACCAAAAACAACTCAAATTTCGTCCAAGGAAATTCTCGTATTAAAAAAACTCATCTGCAATCCCGGCCGTGTTTAATCGCATCTTTCAAAAAATAAAAAATGCGCAAACATCTAAAGGGCCGTGTTCGGATTACGGTAAGGCAATATATTTAGAGGCCACTCAAGCGCCTCCGCCTTGCTTTTCTCCGTTACGGTTGTAGGACGTCGATTTTGATCTTTTTCACAAAGAAAAAACATTTCTTTGCATTATAATTTTTTTTTTTTTTTTTTCCAATTGCAAGTCCTTTTTCTACCAGATCAAAATCTTGTCCAATTCCCTTTTTCTTTCCATTCTAAATAAGTTTACAAAAAGAACATTTTTCTCTTGTCCCTTACTTTTACATATCATATACCTAAAAGATCATTAAATATCTTCTTTTTTTTTCTTCTTTCCTAAAAGATTGAACATTATTTATCTTTTTTTCTTATTTTGAAATCCCCGGATGACACTTTTCGCGCGTGGGGAAAGAAATCGTTATCTTTGATGAAAGAGTTTTATTTTTCTCTACGTACTTACTGACTGATAAGCAATCTTTGGCTTGTCATTTTTCGTTTTCGATTTATTTTCATTTATTTTTTTTTTATTCTTCTTCTTGGCACCTTTCCACCTACCTCTGAAAGTTGAGAATGACAGGAGATCAAAGTCATGAATTCGAATTTCGCATCCTTGAGAAATTCTTGATCACCGTTTAGTCATCCAAAGAGGGGGATTCAAATTTACGTTTTACGAGGTGCCAAGAGATCGTTACATTTATGGTTATGAGGCGCGAATCGAGTTTTTCTTTTTAGATAGATTTCCGTAACATAAAATGTCGGATAAAAAAAGTAGGAACAATGGCAACGGGGGAGATAATGTGCTCGCCGACTTAGAAATACATCCCTTTGTTGTACATAATATATATATATATATATATATGCGTACATAAAAAAAATTTTTTTTTCTTGATCGAGATGTATATGTACAGTATATTCTCAAAAAAAAAAAATAATAATCCAAATTAAATAAATAAAAAGAATTCTCGTTTCTCGGCATTAAGTCTCTTTCGCTGAAGTAATTGATAAAAATGTTTTTTTTTTTTTTCAATTGACGACATGACATCGTTGGCGGACAAATTAATAAAATTTTACATTCGGATCACTTAAACAATGCAGATTTATTTACGCTTGAAAACGCTGCGGGACTGCGGTCCACGATAAATAATTTGATCTGTTTTTTTTTCGATGCAAAAAATTTAAAGTTTTCAGACGTGGCAGGTGAACCTTAACAGTTATGTCGTACAGATTACCACCAATGGGATACCCGGTGACTTGAATAAAACAACTGGCCACATTCTTTAACATTGAGAGGAAAAAGATGAACCCCCCCACCTTGCCGGCCGAAGAGGTTATACCGCTGATCCTAAGGTTAGTTGGCAGCAACAACGTGCTTTGCGAGGTTGAGGAGTGCGTTATGGGATCGCGCTTTCTGTTTAAAATGGAAAGTTATAAAATATCCTTTTCATATAGAGACTTGTGTGTTCCATGTCTTGAGATAACAAAAAAAAAAGTGGCTATTGCAATTTTGGAACCACAGAGGATACTGTAGTGTGTTTATTGTCAACGCCATGTAAAAGAGAAATGGTAATGTCAAAGATAAAGATCAAACTAAGAAATGTCGAAATGTCCATTGACATTTACTTCTTTTTTTTTTCCTTATTCGCCGGATTTCAATGCACCATAACTCTTTCTTCTTTCTCTCTTTTTTTTTATTTTCATCGCAGTCAATTGTGCGAATATGGTTACACCCAACTGGCCCAAGTTGTCGCCGAGCAGACGGATACCCCCGTCGACTTGACGCCTAGTTCGAAATTAGCGGAATTGCTCTACATCGCAAAGGAACAAGGTCGAAACACCGTCGCCTCTTGATT